TGTGGCGCTGCCTGATGTCGTACCCGAGCCGCTGGTGAACACTCCAGTGAGGGATGATGCAACTGATGAAGCCATTGAGGTCACTGATGAGAATACAGTTGTGGGCTTAGTAGTGTGCGAGGCTACGTAATTGATTGATTGAGTGATTGAGTAAATGTTTGAATGGAATAGTTCCAAATAATGTATAAATGAAAGAATAAAAGAATAAAAGTATGATTTACTTACTTGTAGACTGAGCGATGGTCGAGGTTGAGCCGGATGTGGTGCTGGCCGAGCCAGAAGAGGTCGTRGTCGWTGTKATACCRGTSACGSWGCTGGCKGWTGWCGCGCCATGCAGTGGCAGTTGCGGTACCTGAGGTTGAGGCWACWGWGCCMGAGACWGATCCAGCRGTKGCWSTKGAKGCAGTGGCGACAGTTCCCGAGACAGAGCCAGCAGTAGCGGTGGCGGTGGCGGTACCTGAAGCTGTGGCTACAGTTCCAGAGACTGTACCAGCAGTGGCAGTTGATGCAGTGGCGACAGTTCCTGAGACAGATCCAGCAGTGGCGGTGGCAGTGGCGGTACCTGAGGCAGTGGCGACAGTGCCCGAGACTGAACCGGCAGTCGCAGTTGATGCAGTAGCGACAGTTCCTGTGACAGATCCAGCAGTAGCGGTGGCGCTTGTTCCTGAGGCTGTGGCAACAGTGCCTGAGACTGTTCCTGTTGTAGCGCTGGTTGACGAGGCGACAGATCCAGAAACAGAGCCTGCGGTGGCCGTGGCGGTGGATGGGGAAGTGCTGGAGGCCGTGGCAACTGTACCTGATACAGTGCCAGCAGTGGCTGTTGACGCAGTGGCAACAGTGCCCGAGACTGATCCAGCAGTTGCTGTGGCAGTGGCGGTACCTGAGGCGGTGGCGACTGTGCCTGATACTGTACCTGCTGTTGCGGTTCCCGAAGCAGTAGCAACGGTGCTAGATACTGAGCCAGCAGTGGCGGTGGCGGTGGATGGGGCAGTGCTGGAGGCGGTGGCAACTGTGCCCGAGACGGAGCCAGCAGTGGCTGTTGATGCAGTGCCTACAGTTCCTGATACAGATCCAGCTGTGGCAGTTGCACTTGTTCCTGAAGCGGTGGCAACAGTGCCCGAGACAGTTCCTGTTGTGGCGCTGGTTGATGAGGCAACTGATCCAGATACTGAGCCAGCAGTGGCGGTGGCGGTGGATGGGGAAGTGCTCGAGGCTGTGGCAATTGTACCTGATACAGTGCCAGCAGTTGCAGATGTTGCTGTGGCTACAGTTCCTGAGACTGAACCAGCGGTTGCTGTTGCAGTAGCGGTACCCGAAGCGGTGGCAACTGTGCCCGAGACGGAGCCAGCAGTGGCTGTTGATGCAGTGGCAACAGTGCCTGAGACTGAACCAGCGGTGGCGGTTGCTGTGGCGGTACCTGAGGCAGTGGCAACAGTTCCTGATACAGTGCCAGCAGTGGCGGTCGATGCAGTGGCAACGGTGCCCGAAACTGATCCAGCTGTGGCGGTAGCACTTGTTCCTGAAGCGGTGGCAACGGTGCCAGATACTGTGCCTGTAGTTGCAGTTGATGCTGTTGCAACAGTGCCTGAGACAGATCCAGCTGTTGCGGTGGCAGTGGCAGTACCCGAGGCTGTGGCAACAGTGCCTGAGACTGAGCCAGCAGTAGCTGTTGCGGTGGATGGGGCAGTAGTGCTTGTAGCAGTGGCGACGGTACCAGAGACGGTGCCAGCTGTGGCACTTGTCGTTGAGGCAACTGATCCAGAGACTGAGCTTGCGATCGAACCGATTGAGGAGGCTACTGAACTGGCAACTGAGCTCACTGAGGAGGCAACAGTGCCCGAGACGGAGCCAGCAGTGGCTGTGGATGCGGTGGCGACAGTGCCCGAGACGGAACCAGCAGTGGCTGTTGACGCAGTGGCAACTGTTCCTGATACAGATCCAGCTGTGGCGGTGGCGCTTGTTCCTGAGGCTGTGGCAATAGTGCCCGAGACAGTTCCAGTTGTGGCGCTGGTTGATGATGCAACTGATCCAGAGACAGAGCCTGCGGTGGCAGTGGTGGTGGATGGAGATGTGCTGGAGGCCGTGGCGACAGTTCCAGAGACAGTTCCAGCAGTGGCTGTTGATGCAGTGGCGACAGTTCCAGAGACCGAGCCAGCAGTGGCGGTGGCGGTAGATGGGGCAGTAGTGCTGGTAGCGGTAGCAACTGTACCCGAGACTGTTCCGGCGGTGCCGGTGGAAGCAGTGGCAACAGTTCCTGATACAGAACCAGCTGTAGCGGTGGCGCTGGTTCCTGAAGCGGTAGCAACAGTGCCCGAGACTGATCCTGCAGTGGCAGTGGCAGTGGATGGAGCAGTAGTGCTGGTAGCGGTAGCAACTGTGCCAGAGACAGATCCGGCTGTAGCACTGGTTGTTGATGCAACCGATCCAGAAACTGAGCTGGCGATCGAACCAATCGAGGAGGCTACTGAACTGGCTACTGAGCTGGCAACTGAACTTACTGAAGAGGCAACAGTGCCTGAGACGGAACCAGCTGTGGCAGTAGATGCAGTAGCTACAGTTCCTGAAACTGAACCAGCTGTTGCTGTGGCAGTTGCAGTACCTGAAGCAGTGGCGACAGTACCMGAGACAGAGCCAGCTGTGGCGGTGGCGGTTGCAGTACCMGARGCAGTGGCAACAGTTCCCGAGACAGAGCCAGCAGTGGCGGTAGAT